AAAACGCCATGGCTCGCCAAGGCTTGGCATAACTTAAATTTGACCTCGCCACAAAGTCACGCCTTGCGTTTTGTAGAACCTTGACTTACAACCGTTGAAGACTTTGATTCTCATGTGAGATAGAAAGTTGATGACGTGTGACATGAAACTTTCTCATATAAATTCTCTATAATGTATCCACCAAGCAAGAGTAAACCATCATTAGATGTTAGTATTTCACTTGTATAAATGTTGTTCTTAAGCTTTAAGACATATACCAAAATATGCTTAAATAGAAGCAACATATGAACCCTTTATTCTAACACTTTTTGTAAGAACAAAGGAGAAGGCTAGAGGGGGGAGAACCATGAAATTGGCAGCCCAAAATGAGAAAAAACAGTGAATGAAAAAGCTACTTCTTTCACCCATTCTGCCTTACTTTTTATCCCAATACAAAAGCAATACATACAGGAATGAAAGCATGAGGCTTTCTTACATGCATGGGTTAAGGGAATAAACAATTCAGAAGCAAGTGTTCTTCGTCATGTAAGAACCCATGTGTAACATCCATGATTAGTAAGGTACTAACTATATTATTAATAACTTAATGAATAGAATTGGGTTGGGCTTAGACCATTGAATCCTTATGATTGGGATGAGAAGTGTCGTATGCAGGGCATACTATGCCAAGTACGCTCAGCGTACTTATGAGACGAAGACGCGCATGCCATGCACGTACGCCCAACATACCAAAGGGTACGCGCAGTGTACGTATGCTGATTATAAAACCCTAAATTTAGTGTTTGATCCCTATATAAAGGACCTTATGCCTTTGATCCAACCTCCCTCTCACCCTTAGACAGCCACCACGAAAACCCTAACCTATATTTGTGTGTTGTGGTTTTGGTAGCCACTTGAGAGCATTTTAGTGTTGTTTTGGTGTTTTGGAAGAGAAAGAAGTTTGAAGAAGGAGCAAGGATTCAAAGGGAGCTTGTAGATCCAAGAGTTTAGCACCATTTCTAACTCATTTGAGGTATCAAGCTTCAAACTTGATCATTGCATGCTTAGATTTGATTTTGGGGTGTTATATGTCACTTTTGGACTACATTGTTGAGGTTGCTTGAATCTTGATAGTTTTAAACCATAAGAGATGTCCTTTTGAGCTCTTAGAATCACTTAGAGTCATAAAAATCGGACCTTGATGGTTAAGCCACAACCATGTAAGTGTTTGATGGTCACAAAGTTTGGTTAAGGACCAAAATCATGTTTTGACCCCAATCATGCATGCAAGCACATAAAGCTTATGACTTTATGGACTAGGAAGTCTTAAAAGACTTGGATCTACATTATGTATGTGAGGACTTAATGGATTAAGTTACAAATGGAGCCCCAAGGAAGTTGGCCGGTACGTTGGGCGTACACCCTGGCACGCTACGCGTACTAGGTCAACTTCCTGGTTTTGGTCAAGGCCCGCGTACGTTGGGCGTACGTGCCAGGTACGCCGCGCGTACGCATGTAGAGTGATGAAATTGGGCTTTTGGACCTTAACAGTTTGGGCATGGATAGGTGGGCCCCATGGCCCACTGTGGAGTAGAGTTTCTGGGCCTAGAACTAGGACTTAGAGTATTGGGCCACTCAAAATTATTGCTAAGGATTTATTGGGATTGTGATAAGGCCCATTTGAGGAGTTGGGCCTAATTTAGAAAATTGGGCCATTAGTGGGCCACTAGTGGGCTGGGAAAGATATGTTGGAATTGGGCCTTGGGTATGGTCCAAATTAGACCAAGGGGTGAAATGGTCATTTTACCCTAAGAAGTATTATGGATTTTGACTAAGTGTTGTTATGATAATGATAGTCGAGGAGTCATCAGAGCAGTTGTTAGAGATTCCTTTCTGTGATATTCAACAGTCAACTTTAGGAGGTGAGTTACCTTCCAGTAGAAGTGGGTCGAAGGCACCAATGTCGGCCCACTAGTAAGTGTTATAATAGAGATGATTGTCTTTGTGATAATTATTTGGTATTCCACTATCTGTTACGCTTTATGTGCTAGTATGCTATGATATTATGTTAAAGTAGTAGGAAGGGTAAGATAGGCCCCAATACCGGTCGAAAGGATTGAAGGAGTAGGCTAGGACCCTAATATGCTAAGGAGTATGTGACTTATATGTTTATCTACTAGGCGATCACATGGTAAGAGTAGGGGTGAAATAGTCCCCGGTACCGGTCTAAAGGACCGAAGGGGTATGCCAACATCCTAATATACTAGGCAAGTAAACCGGTTGAAAGAGACCAAAGGGGTAAGCCAACACCCTGATATGCTTGGCAAGTTACCGGTTGAAAGAGACCGAAAAGGGTAGGCCAGTACCCGGACATGTTAGACAGTATGTTTATTGTATGGTATGTGGTATGATGGGGGAGCTCACTAAGCTTTATGCTTATGATTTTCAGATTTTGTTTCAAGTCATTCTTCTTCTTCGAAGGGAAAGGAGTCGGCACGATAGCAACGCATCACACCACGATTTTCCGCACTATGATGTTCTTGGGATTTGTACTCTGACATTATTATATTATGACATGTTTTGAGACATATGACTTATGAGTTTTTATGATATGAAATAACTTCATGATGTTTTCAATAATCTGTTTTATGAATTATTAAATTAAAAATGAAATTTTTGATCGTAAATTTTGGGATATAACACCATGGTTCTTCATGGCGAGGAGACAAGGTTGAAGTGTTTATTACTTTATATTTAACTAGTTAGTTATATTTCAAGTACATGATTATTCAAAGTGGCCAAACATTTGTACATAACTTCTAAATTCATACCATATGAATTATAACTAGTTTTGCTCTTTTTTATTATTATGTTCTAGAAACAATAATTTCCAATATGTTGGTAAAATACTATTTTCATAAAATAATGTTTTTTTCCAAATAAATACAATTGTTGATAATATTTATTAATAATTAAATTATACTAATAAATAATCAATTAGTAGTAACTTGATATAAAGTGTGACCCAATATGATTACATGTCATTTACAATATCATTCTATAATGACTATTGAGCATATACGATCTTTCAGTAGTAGCATCCATCGAAGTAACTCGGCTTTATATCTGTTTTACTAAACAAAAATTTCAAAGTAGAATGGTCGGTGAAAACGATAGTTTTGGACAATATTAGATAATGGCGGAACTTATCAAAAGCATATATGATGGCTAATAATTTTTATTTTATTTTATTTTTGTCGTTGTGTAATTTCTCTTGAACCGGATTGAGTGTTTCGCTAGTTTAAAAGATTGTTTGAAAACGGTTTTCAACCTTTTACCCTATGACGACTCCTAAATCATAGTGACTCGTGTCGCACATCAACTCAAATGACAAGATCCAATTTTGGACAATCATGATCGGGGTGGTGATTAATTTTTCTTTTAACAATTTAAAAGTATTTAAACAATTATTTGAAAAACCAAAGTTAGACTCTTTTAAAAATAACTGAGTCAAATGATGTAATTTTTGAAAAATCTTTAATAAAACCGTAGTAAAAATCCACGTGTGCAAAAAAAAAAACTCTACACTCTTTTTCACGTTTGATGGAGGTGACAATTTGGAAATCGTGTCGAAAAATCTTTATATGAAAGTGTTGATGAAACACAACAAAATTCCCAACCACCAAAATAAAATTAGAGTAAATTACATGAATGGTCGCGATGGTTTAGGGTAATTTGTGCGTTTAGTCCCTAACTTTTTTTTTTTTTTTTTTTTAAATTCGGAAGCTCCTTACTGTTTGTTTTTGTTACACGTTTGGTCCATATTTTACCTAAAAATATTATTTTGCCATTGATTTTTTTAATTTATTTAAACAAAACACACTCAACGCTACCCCTTTCACCTTATCTTACATACTCCACAATTTTTGTTATTTAAATAATATTCTTTTTAGATAAGACAGAGACCAAACGCGTAACAAAAACAAATAATAAGGACCAATTGCGTAACATAAACAGATAACAAGGACCTTCCGAGTTAAAAAAATATGTTAGAGATCAAGCGCGCAAATTACCCTAACCATAGGGACCATTCGTGTAATTTACTCATAAAATTAAGATGATTAGAAAATATGCTAAAAGTCAGTCATAACTCCTAAATACCTAAATATGGATTTGGGTCAAGCCTCAAATGATTATTATTTTAGATTAGTGATTTGTTTGATCTATAATATTTTATTATTTTTAGAACTCCACGAGCTACGCGTGATCTATCAAAGATTTTTTACTTCTATATTTATTAAACTGTATTTGTTTTTTCATAGTCACAACATATTACTCTGTTAACTTTGTCTCTATCGGCGATAAAATCTAAAGTGGTAAGTATGTATATAGGTCAAACAACACAATATTGATCACAACGCTTCGTTGTACTTTATTTCATGGTTTAAAGAATTGCGATACCTATTGCACAACTTAAATATCCTTTTATCGACACCAGAAGTCGATAACATTCGATAATTACTTCTATATTTATTAAACTGTATTTGTTTTTTCATAGTCACAACAGGATACTCTGTTAACTTTGTCTCTATCGGCGATAAAATCTAAAGTGGTAAGTATGTATAGAGGTTAGACAACACGATATTGATCACAACGCTCTGTTGTACTTTATTTCATGGTTTAAAGAATTGCAATACTTATTGCACAACTTAAATATCATTTTATCGACACCAGAAGTCGATAACATTAGATAATCAGTGATCCAATGTATGCCACTACAATTGATTACTATGTTGAATGATATAAAAAGTTCAAGCAATCTAACGGACTCGTGGTCTAAATGACTAAACCTAAACTAAGTCAATATTTTAAGCAAGACTTGAACCTCTAATCCTTTGGGGGTATATATATATATATATATATATATATATATATATATATATATATATATATATATATATATATATATATATATATATATATATTGAGTTTTTCCAACTTTTGATAGGATATAAGTCTTTTGGTTGTAAATTAGATAGTTTCGAAGTAACATTTTGACAAAACTGCAAAATTAGTCCTTGTGGTATTCAAAAAGCTTTGGATAAGATCCAAAAGGTTTTCAACTTGCATGGATGGTCCAAAATCAAGATTTTTCTTTGGTTTTGATCCAAAAAAAAAATTAAAAAGACGGTTTTGCCCTTTTATTTCTTTTTTGTATTTTTATATTTTCTTTAATAATTTATTAATTAAAAATTAAAAAAAAAGAATTAGCTACCCCACCCATCCCTCCACTCGTACCATCCCATTCTCTCTCCATCTCTCTTTGACTCTCCCCCCTTCTCATTCCTCACTCTACACCTGCAAATTCAACCTCCCACACACATTCACACAAACACTTAGGTTTCAATCCTTATTCATCACCATCGAAGTTATATGTTGACCTTTTCTAGTTGCTTAGTTGCTGGCTTGCTGCAGTTAAAGACATCCAAGCTTGATAACATTCATCAGTCTTCCTCTAACATTGACTAGTCAACTCTTGTATCCTTTTCTCATATTTCTCTACTCAAATTTCTCTACTGATTTCTTTCGCGTGACTTTCTTCTGTATATATTCGGGAATTTGGACACATTTATACATTATTTAGTAGCATTAATGTGTTTGTTAATAAGAACATTACATACCTGAACTGAAGGGATTTCTATATCAGCAGCATAATTCTGACAATTTAGAAAATCTTGTTTTACATCATTAGTGAGTAAATCAAAAAGAAAAAGTCAAATCAAATTCACTCATCAAAATTATAAATAGAATTAAAAATCTATATGAAACTTTAGCTACCAGAGAGCTTAGGAGCTCGTCTTATGCAGATTCCACTAACCAATGGGCTTCCAGTGATTCCTTCAAACCTAATTACAATTGTCTCACCAGGTTTGACCGAGACTCTTAAGTCAACTAACTGTAACGATTTATTAGCTCCAACAACAGAGAAGATGTCCAAATCTGCAAGAATTTGTTGAGAAACAATGGTAAGCTGGGATTGTTCGCTGGGAATAGAGAAAGGGTTAAACGGCAACGTATTTAAGTGTGTGTATCTGTGTGTGTACTTTAAGTTAAAGGTGAATTGGGAAGAAGAAGATCGGGAGTGGGGGTAAGGGATGTGAAGGTGGGTTTTTCTTTAGTGTTTGTGTGTGTGTGTTTGTGTGTGTGTGAGAGAGAAAGAGAGAGAGAATGGTGGGGCGGTTGGTGGAAAATTCTTTTAATTTTTTTTAAAATTAAATTAATGTTAACGTAATTATAAAAAAAAAAGAAAAAAGAAAATAAAAGGGCAAAATTGTCTTTTCAAGATTTTTTGGACCAAAACCACAGAAAAATCTTGATTTTGGACCATCCATGCAAGCTGGAAACTTTTTGGATCCTATCCAAAGTTTTTTGAATACAATAGGGACCAATTTTACAGTTTTGTCTAACATTTGCTTATTATTTTCCAGACAAAAAAAAAACCAATAATATAAGAGGTTTTAAAGAAATAGCGATTTTTGAAAATTTAATTTTTTTGGATCATTTCTTTTGATTTTTGAAAATTTAATTTTTTATTTGATGTATTTTTATAATTTTTTGACAAAATTGCAAAAATGGTCTCTGCGGTTGGCAAATTTATGTGCTTTTGGTCCAAAACGAAATGTTGGCGCACCACTGGTCCAAAATTGGATCTTTCTATTGTTTTTGGTCCCTATACACTTAAAATGACAGTTATTCCCTTATAATTTATATTTTTTATTTTCTTTAATTGTTGAAATACATATAATAATTTAATTTATATATATTTTTAACTTAAAATTAAAAAATAAAAACAAATAACCAATTCCCCACTCTTATCTTAAAGAAGCCCTTCATCATCAACTCCACCCTCATCACCGATATCTGGAACCACCATCATTAGCAACTATTGTCGTTGGAGTTCACCTAGATCGCAACCACCACCACTTTTTCCAAAGATCTGGTTGCTCGACTCCCCACCCCACTACCACCACCAGTCGCCAACATAGATACCGCCAGAAACCTTCACACCCCTCTGATCTATTCATACATTGGGGAAGGAGTGATGAACTGGGTCAACAGATACAACGTGAGAATTTAAACCCAAATCGCATCACCCACCAAACATGGAGCCTTCGGTGATGGGAGATCGATTGTAGAAGATGATAAAAAAAATTAGGTCAAGACCTCTTCTTTACCCACCACCAGTCGACTGCCACAACCAAACAACCTCGACCAAGCTTCACTAGACCGCCATCATCGCCAATATTGGTTTCACCTTGTTCAATTTGGTTCACATTTGCTTCCTTTCGTCTGCCACCACCATTAAATCGAAGACCATCACAGCTTCCCCAACTCCATCTCTAACAACAAGTAATCGATTTAAGTCTTACTCTCAGTCGTTCTCTACTCCACTACGTACCCTACTACTGCAAGCTCATTCCTCTAAAATCTATTGACCCCCTCACTCTATCTCCTCTCATTCTCTACACCACTATTGACTTTTAATTTTGGTTCCTGAAACAAGATTGGAAAAGATTTTCAGATTCGATTTTAGAGGAGAATTTGAAATGGGGACTTAAGTATTTGGATTTGATTTGGGGATTTAAGTGCGTTTGGAGTAGCACCATCTTGAAGGCATATAAGATGGAGGTCTCAGAGATGTAGGAACCAGAAAAATATCCTCCATCATAAAAGGGTGGTCCGATGGTCATGCCGATGAAGCTAGTGTTCCAGAAGGTATGGTGGTGTTGTTGTGGGTTTGATTTTATTTTGGTGGTGGAGGTTCCGGTTAGGAAGATGACATACAAAAAAAGAAGAAGAAGAAGAAGAGGAGGAGAGAGAGAGAGAGAGAGAGAGAGAGAGAGAGAGAGAGAGAGAGAGAGAGAGAGAGAGAGTGGTGGGTTTATGTTGTTTTTGTTTTTCATTTTATTATAAGAATAAGAAAATAAATAAAATAAATTAAAATATAATTATTTAAGGGGCATATTAGTCATTTTAGGTAGAATGTGGACCAAAAACACAAAAAAAATATAACCATAAGAACCAAAACCACACAGTATATCTAAAATTAAACCAAAACCACACAATATATCTAAAATTAAACCTGTGATAGACGAACGTTTCGTTTTGAACTAAATCCACATAAATTTGCGAACAGGCCATTTTTGCAATTTTGTCAAATTTTTTTGATGCTCTTGTTGGCACATTCACCAGCGAAGGCAGCAACCGAACACACATAGACAATGGAACCAAAAGAAGCAACGACTTCAGAAACCCTAGATCACAATCATCAGATTTCTCAAGAACACAACGTAGACCCTCACCACGACCTTGATGGTAACATCGATACAAGTACAAGAGAAACGGAGGATACGTTTTTCTCCTCGACTTCTTCGCCAATCAGTCAAAAGGAGATTGTAAGAGCAGTAGAAGTGGTAGAGAGGGATTCCCTCGCCATTGCTGATAGCTTTTCATCTCTATTCGCATCTCTCCGAATTGCTCTCTCCGAGGTAATCGAATTTCACATTTTGAAGCTTAACCATAGTAATCAAATTGAGCTGAAGCTACATATCAGCATATAAACCCTAAAGTTCAATCAATTTAGTGTAACCGGAATCCATTTTTTATACATACTTTTATGGATTGTTACTCTTATCTAGCAAAATTTCAAAGCTTATGTCAACAACGATGGAAAAAGTCACAAATCTGTTTTACATTGCATCTATCAATGTATGATGCGAGTCTCGAGGGGATGTGTAGTTTTTCTATGGGAAATTGCAATGATAAACTCACTCCAGCAGATTTTAAAAAGATCACAAACTTTGATATGTGCTCTTCATTGCATTGTAGATAGATCATATAAGTTCATCCATTGAAATTGTTTGTGTATGTTGTAGGTTAGCAGCCGCTCTGTTGATCATGTACAATGCTTCAGTGATGCTGCTGGGCGTCTTCAAGAATCTGGTACAAAAAAAAAAAAAAAAAAAAAAACCTTCCATTGATCTTCGTATGCACAATGTGCTATTAGATAAAGCAATATGTTAGAATATATATTTTTCACAGAGACCTTAAAGGTGCGTTTGGTTGTGGAAAATTTTTCAGTTTTCTAGGAAAATTTTCCGAGAAAAACGGAAATTTTGAAAACGCGTTTGGTTCGTTCAGTTTTCCAAAGTTTTCTAAGAAAATGAAAATTTTCAGTTTTCCAAATTCTATGTAATTAGAAAAGTGATTTTTACAGTTTTCCAAAGTTTTCCAAATTTCTAAGATGGAAAATGAAAACTCCACCCGTTTCAACCAAACACGTTTTCATTGAAAATTGAAAATGGAAACTCAACCGTATTTTCTGAAAACATTTTCATAGAAAATGAAAACAGTTTTTCACAACCAAACGCACCCTAAATAACCTCAAAAGATACTTAATGATTCTTGTATAGCTATATCCAGTCTTTTGACAGATAAACACAAGTTTTACTTTTTCTTCAGTCTCCAGTAAAGTTTAACAAGAATTTTGTTCCAAATTTTATACATTTCAGCATTGGATACTGCAACAAAGGGGAATCTGTACATAAACTCATGTCTCAGGTATATAAATCCATTTTCATGGTTTTGTTATGTTTATAACTTTATATGGTTGATGAAACCACTAACTTTTACATTTTGCAGATTGAATGAGGAAATGAGAGGCATTGACACCCTAGCAATGCAACTGTATCCTTTATTCTCATGATTTTTGTGTTTTTAGGTTTCATGATCTGCTCAAATGTGATTATAATGACATAACAATTAACAAGGTTTTCTTAACAATTGAAAAGAAAGGTGTTGCGTAGAAACGTTGATGCTTTGGATACTGCTGTGAATACCCTTGTTCGTTTTCCTTGATGTGTTATTATCATTATTTTTTAACTGAGGTTTTTATTGATTTGAATACATTTGCCCATTAATATTAATTGTTATATACTCTGGTAAAATATCATACTAATTTGGTTTTAAAATATCAAGAATATGTTTTTTTGATGTGATATTATACAAGAGTCATTGCTAAATGCTAATTATCTCACATAAAAGTAAGCCGTATCTCAAAGAAAGAACAATTAGAAAAAAGGATTATAACTTATAAAACACAAAGACAACCACAAAATGTCAAACACATTGTCATATGCAAAATTCAGCAATTACATAGTTGCCACCCTCCAAAAACCTTTACCAAATTCATTCCCATTCAATTGTTGATGGAGGCTTCGATGTAATATCCAAACAAACCCGGTTCACCCCACGAACACTATTACATATCTTTCTCGCCACATCATCCAAGAACTTATGCTCAAAATAATACCTGAAACAAAATTTCATAATAATAAAGCTTATTATATACAAGACACGTGGCAAAAGATTATATACAGATAAAGTGACATGTCTCACCAATCAGCAGTCATGCCATCTTGACTTGTAACAGCTCGAAGTGCAACAGCATTAGAATGAGTCCTCTGATCTCCTTGAACGCCTGTCGTTTTAATGGGTAAAAACACAGCAAAAGCCTGCCATATTTCATCGTAAATCCCAGCATCTTTAATCGCTTGGATAAATATCTCATCCACCTGTCGAAGAATCTCCAGTGCATTTCCTTGGGTCACATCACCGGGTATCCGTACAGCAAGACCCGGTCCAGGAAACGGGTGTCTCTTCAAGAACGCAACTGGAACATCCAAGATCCGACCCAACTCACGAACCTTTTTCACATTTTCACAACGATAAAAAAAGAATCAAGCAAAATTACATAACAGGTCCTTCGGAATTGTACAAGATACAACTAATTAGTAAATTACAAACCTCGTCCTTGAAGAGAAGCTTAAGGGGTTCAATGAGCTTTAGCTTCATGTCTTTTGGAAGCCCACCCACGTTATGATGGCTCTTGATTGTGTGAGAATGAGTTCTTCCACTTCCGGGTGGTGGGCATGATTCGATTACATCTGGATATAAAGTTCCTTGAACCAGATAACTAGGTTTTGTTCCTAGTTTTTTCTCTAAATCATGAGCAAAAGCATCGAAGATTGAGATGAACTCTTTCCCGATGATCTTTCTTTTCTTTTCAGGATCAGTAACGCCTTTCAACTCGCTTAAAAACTGCACTGAAGCATCAACGCAAGTGACAGGAAGATGAAGATCTCTTTCGAAGGTTCCCATCACTCTTTCTTGCTCCTTGTATCTATATAAAAAAGCCACAGAATATCATGATGACATGGATCATGAAAATTTGGTCAAAAAACAAAAAATCTTACCTTAATAGACCATTGTCAACGAAGATACAGTGGAGTCTATCGCCGATGGCTTTGTGAACAAGAGTAGCTGCAACTGTAGAGTCGACACCACCGGATAATGCACAGATTACATGGTCATCAGGTCCGACCATGCCTTTGATTACTTTTATTTCTTCCTCCATTACATCTTCCATTTTCCAGCCGGCGGAGACATCACAGATATCGAACAGGAAATGGCGCAACAATTCCATTCCCTCCGGTGAATGTGTCACCTACATCGATATGAGAATGAGCAGTTTTAGACAAAAAAAAAGTTCCGAAGAATAAACGAGCGCGATTTAATCTACCTCGGGGTGGTACTGCAGCCCATAAAACCGCCTGCCGGGATTCGCGACCGCCGCTACACCGCCTTGTTCGCTCCTGGCGACCACTTCGAATCCAGCAGGAAGCTTCACAGCCTCATCGCCATGGCTCATCCAAACCACCTGCTTATCACCGATGTTTTTACCCTTGAACAATCCACCATAATCTTTCACGACCTCAATCATCATTCTCCCATACTCCTGCTTTTCCCCAATCGCTACTTGCCCACCCAATTTCTGCACAATCAACTGCAACCCGTAACAAATCCCCAACACAAAGATGCCCGTTTTTTCAACATACTCTACAAAGCCATCGGGGAAACAAGGGGCGTCCTGTGCATGGACGGAATGGGGGCCGCCGGAGAGGATGATTACAGATGGGTTTAAATCAGTGATGGATTTGAGTGAGGAAGTGCCGGAAATACAGAGGGAGAACACGGATAGGCTTCGGATTCGACGAGTGATTAGGTGGGTATACTGAGAACCATAATCTAGGATAAGAACCAGGTTTGATTTCACAGCTTGGGGCTCCATTGATGGGAAATTTCTTTGATAAGATCGAGGCAATTGAGAAAAGGGGGACGAGGGTTTAAAGGAAGTAGGCTAGGGTTTTTGATAGTTGGCGGGAAGCGAATGCCCTAATAACAGATGTTGAGGCGTTTCCGTATTAGCGAAAAATTGCACTTCAACCCCTTCAATCTTTTTTGCCATTAATTTATTTGAAATAATTCATTTATTTTCTGGGCATCTTATAAACTATAACATTATCAATGTTGATAAGGTTACTTCACAAAGCACATTTGTATGAGGTTGAAAAGGCAAGCTTCATCCCTTCTCTTCTATGGAGATGAAATGGGGTTGAAAAGGCATGTTTCATCTCTTCTTCTCTCCCACCCACCTTATATTTTTGGTGTTTTGGGTTTCTGAATTAGGGTTCATTGCAGTTTTACTAATTATTTTTACTTAATTGTCATACGAGTTGCTATCATATCGTTGGAGAAGTTTGTATATGTAAGCATCAATATCCTCTTATTTTCTTGACTCTCTTGGGAAATATTATTATTCGGGCTCTTTGGTTTTGGATCCAAGGTTTACCCTTTCTTTATTTATCATGGTTCTAGTCAAAGATACTAGTAAAAGGAGAAAATATTATGTTTATAACAATGTCCTTTCAACAAAAATTAAAAATGTCCATGTTCTTGTTTATATCAACCAAAAAAAGACCAAGCTTTTTAGGTATTTAAAAAATAATCGCTTAATCAGATGCGGACCTAGAGCAAAAATCCAGGGTTGTACTGCACAAAATTTACATTATGTTGAAATTTTTTCTTAAAAAATTACAATGCTAGAAAATTTAAGAGATAACTTGTGCTACCCTAGGCTTTATAATAGATCCACCTTTGCACTTGATCAATAATGGGCCATTACAAATACCAAGAAAATTGGATCCCTACCCATTTATGTGATCCTTTATGTAAATGGGGACCTACCATCAATCCAAATGTTATTTCTTTCCAAAAACCCCCAAAAAAATCGAAAGACAACGTTTTAATTTGCTTTCGAATAGAAGAAGCGTATGATTTGATGACCCATATTAGTTTCATGTTTTTTGTATGCTATAATCTCAATATGTTAAAAACGATTGTCTGTTTGGATGTGATAAAATGATTTCGAAATACGATGAACACTTCTCGGATGTTTCATATTTAAAGGCTGGGTTTTTTTATGGTATGTTCATTACCACTGTAAATAGCTTAAATAATCGAACGTAACCAAAAAATCATGTATGGAACATAATCCCTAGTTTGGAATAATCTATAATTAACTATTTAGTATGTGTAGTTAGGTTTTATTGGTTGTCTTTGTAACATCTAAAAAATCAAGGTAAAATTTTCATTTTTAAAACCCAATCAATACCATAGTTGTTTACAAAACATTGTTCTCAAAAGCAATAATCACAAATCAAAGTATCTCCTTAATCCAATAACATATAACCAAAAGGATACGCATGATCACGTCTTCGTTTTCCCACGATCATCTAAAGTACCTGAAACATGAAACTTAAATCGTAAGCCAATACTTAGTGGGTTCCCCAAAATACCACACACAAACAGAACATATAACAGCATGCACAAATGAGCCTTCAGCTTGACTGGTCCGCCGCGTAGGGCCTACAACATATCTGGACCGCTCTTCTGGCCTTCGTCCTAACTGGACCGCCTCGTAGGCCTTCAGTCTATCCAGACTGCCCCATATATTTTGGCCTTGAGCACAAAGGAGGATCACCTCAACCCAACAAACCATAACATGTAGACATATATACAATAACAATCAATAACCAACAATATAGGTAATCATACATATCTACCAATCTAACGCATACTCAGTGAAAACATGTAATCATACAGATCTACCAGTTTAACACATACTCAACATAACATCAATATAATATATCCGGATACAAAATCTAGTGGGCCGACAATGGTGCTTTCGACCCACAAGTATAATGAGGAAAAATTCATCTCACAGTCCGAAAAGATAACTAAACAGATCACATCTCCGACTGCCAGTTTAACACATACTCAACATAACATCAATCTAATATATCCGGATACAAAATCTAGTGGGCCGACAATGGTGCTTTCGACCCACAAGTATAATGAGGAAAAATTCATCTCACAGTCCGAAAAGATAACTAAACAGATCACATCTCCGACTGCTGACTCTATAGATCACCTATATAGCAACCAATAACCAAATCCCAATCTACAACTTAAAATACCCAAAATACCCCTAAGCCAAACTTGGTCAAAATCCTAGTCAAGATCAAAGGTCAAAAAGTTAACCGAGTCGATCCAGGTTAAGTACGCCCAACGTATTCATCATGTACGCTTGGCACACATACGATCCATATACAGAGGGGTCAAAGGAGTACGTGCAACATACTCAGAAGTACGCCTAGCGTACTCCGCTGCTAACCTTTCCTTATAATAAGAGCTTAATCCAATAATTCATTTCGTTTAAAACCTAGATCTAGTCCCAAACAGTGTTCACTGTTCTAAACCATAAAGTTTTAAACTTTATGATCTTGTGTAACATCCCAAAAATACAATCCAAATTTTTCGTTTTATAAACCATTAGTAAAACCATAAATGTATTCATATGAAAAATCATAAGTCACGTGTCAAGGTCACATGTCATAATATATCAGAGTATAAACATCCCATGCTAAATAAATGGTGTGTGCACTGCAATCTTCTCGAGCTCCTCTTTTGAAAACTGAGTTCCTGAAACCCAAACTGAAAGTCGTAAGCACGAAGCTCGGTGAGTCTCCCCAAACTACCAC